TGGAGACTAATCGAGCGCGTGAGAGCGCGTGGAAGCTCCGATTTCCGATCGGTCAATGCCGTTGACTTTGCCGTGACGTCAGCTTTCTGGATTGGTCAAGTTTGTTCGATTCCGAGAAGATTTGATTTGCGGTCATCTGTTCAGGCCAGCCAGATCTACATAAATTTTAAGCAGTAAGTTTTCTTCATCAATCCTTTAGATTCGCTACGCATAGGTTTATGTTGAATGTTTGTCCGTGATTTGTGCATATCGAGATCCTCATATGTCCCAACACAAGCAAGAATATTAGAAGTAATGGAGAAGGAGATCCATAACAATGTCGTTAGATGGCCTCGGACGAGAAAAGATGGACCAACAAAGCCCAAGAGCAACTTATATTGTCAATTCCACAAAGACTACGGGCACAACGCTGACGACTGCAGACATCTCAAAGACGAGATCGAGAGACTGATCAAAGCGGGACACTTGAATGAAGTCATATACAAAGATCGTGAAAGATCGAGTTGGAAGAGGGTGTGTGTTGGAACCCACGAGGATCTCGATATGCACAAATCACGGACAAACATTCAACATAAACCTATGCGCAGCGGATCTAAAGGTTTGATGAAGAAAACTTACTGCTTAAAATTTATGTAGATCTGGCTGGCCCGGACAGTTGACCGCAAATCAAATCTTCTCGGAATCGAACAAACTTGACCAATCTGGAAAGCTGACGTCACGACGAAGTCAACGGCGTTGACCGATCAGAAATCGGAGGTCACACGCTCTCTCACGCGCCGGTGCAAGTCCCAGCAGCAGGCTCCTCCCGGCGGCGCGTGTAGGCGCGTGCGGCGGCGTATGGCGGCGATCTCGACGGCGATCTCTCCGTATCGTCGTCCTGGTCGTCGTGGTATGGTCACTTGTTGGTTTTCGTCTCCGGTTTGGATGTATGATCGGAATCTCTATATACCTTAAGATCTTCTACTGTATTCTCAAACAGCTTTCTAGATCTTGTATCTGTGGAACACAAGAAATAGAAGAACTCCTTGGAAGAGAGAGAAAGAGGGCTGGACGTTTTTCCCAAGGATTATGGGATTTTGTTCTCTTCTTCCATGAGACTAATGCTGTATATATAGAGCTACAGTAGGGACCCTAAGGAGAA